AAGGATGTATTTTGTCTTCGTATCCATTTTGTTAGCCTATATCTTTTTATGGGTAAGTTAAGACCATTGACTTTTAGGGATATTAATGTCCATTGTTTGTTGGTTCTTGTTTGTTTTGGATTTATTGTTGGTGGTGTCATTGTTTGTTGATTTCGCCCTCCTGTTTCTTTTTGTGTTTGGTAAAATTAGATTATCTATTGCCTGTGTTTTTGTGAATATAACTATGTTTGTCGGGTTGGAGTTTTCCTTCCAGAAACTTCTGTAGTGCTGGATTTGTAGACATGTATTGTTTTAATCTGTTTTCATCATGGAATATCTTGTTTTCTCCATCTCTAGTGATTGAAAGTTTTGCTGGGTACAGTAGTCTGGGTTGACATCCATGCTCCCTTAGTGCTTGTTAGGGTATCTATCCAAGACCTTCTGGCTTTCAGAGTTTCCATTGAGTAGTCAGGTGTGATCCTGATTTGTTTGCCTTTATATGTTACTTGGCCTTTTTCCTTTGCTGCTCTTAATATTTTCTCTTTATTCTGTAGATTTGGTGTATTGATTATTATGTGTCTGGGGGACTTCTTTTTGTGGTCCAGTCTGTTTGGTGTCCTGTAAGCTTCTTCTACTTTCATAGGCATATCCTTCTGTAGGTTGGGAAAGTTTTCTTCTATGATTTCGTTGAATAAGTTTTCTGTACCTTTGAGCAGTGTTTCTTCACCTTCTTCTATACCTATTATTCTTAGGTTTGGTCTTTTTACGGTGTCCCATATTTCCTGGATATTTAGTGTTAGGGATTTGTTGGACTTGAGATTTTCTTTGGTCGATGAATGTATATCCTCTAGCGAGTCTTCAATAACTGAGATTCTCTCTTCCATCTCTTGAATTCTATTAATTATACTCCACATCTTTAGTTCCTGATCATTTATCCAGCCTTTCCATTTCCAGCATTGCCTCATTCTGTGTTTTCTTTATTGTGTCTATTTCAGCTTTCATGCTTTGAACTGTCTCAAGAGCTTCCTTCACTTGTTTGGTTGTTTTTCTTAGGTTTCTTTAGATTCTTTAAGAGATTTGTTTATTTCTTGAATTTTTTGGTTTGTCTTGTCCTCTATTTCATATAATTTTTTGCTTGCTTTTTCTTCTATTTCTTTAAGGGATTTTCTTGTTTCCTCTTTAAACGTCTCTATCATCTTGCTGAGATAATTTTTGAGGTCCATCTCTTCTTCATGCTCTTTGTTGGGATTTTCAGATCTTGCTGGTGTGGAGTCCCTAGATTCTGGTGGTGTCATATAGGTCTTTCTGTTGTTGAGTGGGTTCTTATTCTGTTTTCTTCCCATATCTTCTTCCAGTGGGTGCAGGTGGGGTCACCCAGTGGTGTGTCTGGGCCAAGGATTCAATGTCCGAAGCTCTGGATGGTTTTGCCTCTCCTGGTAGTCTCTTCACTCTGAAGGAGTTAGGCCTCCGTAGGGGTCAGGTCAGTGGAACGGGAAGGAAGAGTGGGGTGTTTCCAGACTCAGGGAGCTACTCCCTTCCTGGGTGTGTCTTTTCCACACAGGCACAGGGCCAGAGAGATTGGGGTGAATGGGGCTCATTATGGATCAGGTAGGCAGAATGGGAAGGAGGCAAAAGTGGACTTCTTTTTTCTTTTTAACTTCTTTTGAGAGGGAAGGTCACAAGGAGGGGTGGATATAGAAGGCATGGGAAAGAATTGTGATCAGGGTGCATATTGCAAAACTCCCCAACAATCAATAAATAATGTTACATGGGGGAAGTGGATGTAAAGCCTGTGGCTGTGGCTAGAGGGTAAGGTTTCCAGGGAAGATGGAAATTTCAAAGGAGATTCAAAAGATTTGAGAGCAGAACTGATGAGTATTGGAGAGTCACATGACAAAGGAGAGGGTGGGGTCTAGAACAGTTCTCATGCTTCTTGCTCGCTGTCTGAATAGTGGTGGTGTCAGCAGAGGAGTGTCTCCAAGGAAAGAAGGAGCTAAGTGAGGGGACTGGATCAGGTGATCCTTTAGAAATTTAATCAGTGCCATTATTAATATAACCACCTAATGTTCAGGATGAGTTGTTTCTTTTTGAAAACCTTGTTTCAGAATCACAGTGTTTGCATATGAGATTGTTCCTACAATCCTCAGATGTCCTTCTAGGTAGCTGCTTAACTAACTCTCCTTTCTTTTCTCCTCTCTGTTGCCTCAAGTCAGAATATCATGTGTAAGCTTAAGAAGTGCATTTTTATTTCTATAATTGTAATCAGACAAATTTTAAATTAGAAACAAGATTCTTTTTCATGTCAATCCCAGTTCCCTCTCCCTCTCCTCCACCCCTGCCCCCTACTAAGCCCCCATCCCAAACCTTTTCTGCTACCCCGGGAGGGGAGGCCTTCCATGGGGGATCTTCAAAGGTCTGTCATATCATTTGGAGCAGGGCCTAGACCCTCCCCTGTGTGTCTAGGCTGAGAGACTTTCCCGCTATGTGGAATGAACTCCCAAAGTCCATTTGTATACTAGGGATAAATACTGATCCACTAAGGTCCAATAGATTACCCAGACTTCCCAACTGACATCCTCATTAAGGAGGTCTTGAATAGTCCTCTTAGTACTGCTTTCAAAGTGTCCCATAAGTTTGGGTATGTTGTGTCAACATTTTCATTGAATTCTAAGAAGACTTTAATTTCTTTCTTTATTTCTTCCTTGACCCAGGAATGGTGCAAGTTTGTGTTGTTCAATTTCCATGAGTTGGTAGGTTTTCTGCACTTTGTTTTGATTTTGATTTCTAATTTTAAAGCATCATGGTCTGATAAGACACAGGGGATTATTCCAATTGTTTTGTACCTGTTGAGGTTTGCTATGTTGCCAAGTATGTGATCAATTTTAGAGAAGGTTCCATGTGATGCTTAAAAGAAGGTATATTCTTTTGTGTTTGGATAGAAAGTTCTATAGGTGTCTGTTAATCCCAATTGGGTCATAACTTCTGTTAGTTCCTTTGTCTCTTTGTTAAGTTCCTGTCTGGTGGTCCTGTCCAGGGGTGAGAGTGGGGTGTTGAGAATTGTTCTTTCAAGGTCTGTGAAGAATTGTGTTGGGATTTTGATGGGGGGCCTTCAACTTCTGACCCTCCTCCTTCAATTATTTCTGGCTTTTAAGAGTTAGGGTTATAGACAAATGATATCACCTCAGGTCCTATTTGGCTTGACATTTAATTCCAGTGTTTGATACTCCATCGTGCTTTGTCAAAAGGTTATCACAGTGGGAGAATAATGGCATCATGCTATGTAGATTACAAATCTCAATTAGTCTCCCATGGAATAATGTATCTCTCTAAGGGAAGCCAGTTAATCTTCCAGAGGTTCTGGTTCCTTCTGTAAGATGGATGTCATAGAGTCAATTTGAGATTGAATCACTGAAGTATCTTTTATATTTTTTCATGATATGTACAGTGTATTGAGGAGATTTGGTATGTGTGTATGAACTGCACATGAAACTGGGCTTTGTGAATATTTGTGTGTGTGTGTGTGTGTGTGTGCGCGTGCGCGTGCGCGCGTGTGTGTGAATTGTTTACTTATGTTTTGCTCTGATTTATACATATATATTCCATTATATATTATATGCACTATGCAATAAAGCTTCATTATCATTTTTATTTAAAAGAAAAATGGTGTATTATACCAGGATTCTGTAAAACTTCTACAGTTTCAGCCACAAAATCATGTTTTCTCTTCTTCTTTCCCCTCTTTCTTTATTTTCTTCCCTCTTGACTCTTTCTTTTTTCTTTTCCTCTTTAAAAATATAGGGTAATTCCTAGCTCATAAGCTGACCAAAAACAGGCCACTGGAAAAAATTGCCCTGTAGAAATGGTTGCTTATGTTCATATTAAAATTAATTTCATTACCTAATAGGTAATTTCCAACCAATTATGAAAAGAAGTTACCAGTGAGCTTTTCTGATAGGCTTCTAGATCTTTTTTTTTATTCTGTTGGTTCACTCAAAGTGGTATTGTTGATTTAACTTAAAGAAGCTCAACTAAAGCCAAGCAAGCTACCAGAAGCATGGTTCACTGTCCTAAATGCTCAAATTTTAAATTTATAAAAACTAACGTGTAAATTTTTATCAATTAAAGAAATTGGAAATAAATATACTGAATAAAAGCAAAGTGGGATTTATGTGGAGGAACAAACTATAGTGATATAATTTGTTTCAGAAAAATACATTGAGCATCCTCAAAAGCATATATTGGTGAGAAAGTAAATATTGGTTTATGAAAGAAAATAAGCTTAATTACTTAAAATTATTTTTTGCTAGCTTTATTCATAATAGACACAAGCTACTGGTTCAATGAACAATGCTCATATGTACATGACCTTTAGGCCTGAATACTTGGGATGTGATGAACTGCCAGGGAATTCATCCATTGAAGAAAACTAGGTCTCCCTTTCTCTAAAGCCACTGAAGCCTGTTGCTTAGTATCTAGGGGTAGGGCTTTGGGAATTGCCCCCACATGTGATGGCACATCACTTGTGTGATCATTGTGCAGAATATTTTTGAGATTTCCCAGGCTACTTGTCCATCGAGTCTAGAGGAGAGAACCCTCTCTGATCTTCTGGCTCTTTTCATTTTTCTGCCCCCTCTGCTATCATGTTCTCTGATCCTTAATTGTAAGCACTCATAGTAACTGGAGGCAAACACCCAGAAGTCACTCACTGCATTCTGGGCAGTTGTGGAGCTCTCCAGTAATTTTATCTGTTGTAAAATGAAGCTTTTTTGAGGAGGGGTGACAGCTATACTTATTTGTGTGTAAACAGATATGTATTTAGAATCCAGTTAGAAGTTATATTGACTTAGGATCATGGCAGTAGTAGGTTCTCTTTTAAGGCCTATGATCCTCCTGTTATTCTTTTGTTTAAAAAGAAGAAAAGAGGAATGCTGAGACATGAGACATGTTGAATATAAGTTTATTATAATGCCCGGCAGAATGGGGAGACTAAGAGAAGAGGAACAGGGTAATGGCTGACCGCCATGGTCGGTCTCCATACAGAGACAGGGAGAGCGGGTAGACAGAGAAGAGAAGAAACAGAGAGTAGGAAAGAAGAGAAGCAGGAGAAGAGAATGAAAGCAGAGTTAGTTGGAGCTTTAAAGGGAAGACTGCGCATGCACACTGAGGTTCCACGCATGCCCAGAGCTCATGGTGACATGGTGATGATGTAGCACGTTTTCTTATGCATGCCCTGACTTGTCATGGGGCAGTGTCTGTCTCTTAAAGACATAGAGCCAATCACCTTTCACCTCCTGCAGTGGGTAATTGGCTAGGTTTACAGTACCAGATATGAATCAATTCCTACTGAGAAGGGTATAACTCCCAGTTTAAAACTGGGCTACGTTTCTGAACAGAGAATTCTCAAAGAAAGAACTCATAAATTTTCAAGAAATAACTTTTATAAGATTCAAAATCCTTAGCAAATAGGAAGATTAAAATGTCTTTGGTATTTTATTTTACCCCAGTCAGAATGACTAAGATGAAGAAAAATTGAAAGCCAGTGTTGCTGAGTATGAGAAGGAAAGGAAACCTTCATTCACTTGTATTAGGCTTGTGAACTACTGTGACACTCTGGAAACTGGTCTGGAGAATTCTAAAAATGGTTTGTGCCCAAAGGACTCAATATCCTACTATAGACATTCTTGCTTGCTCATTCATGTTCATTTCTTATATAAGAGCTAGGAATTAGAAGAAATCCATATGTTCTTCATTTGACAAATGGATAGTGGAAATGTACATATATACACTGGAATTCTATTCTGCTTTAAGGAAAAATGAAATCATCATATTTTCAGTTAAGTGAATGGGACTGGAAAATATTATACTGAGTGAGGTTAACACAGATCTGGAGGGTCAAATACACATTATTTCTTATTTGTGAATCCTAGCTCTAAATCTTTAGATTTGAATATATAACATGAAGTAACTACAGAAGCCAGGAAAGTAAAAAGGTACCTTGAGGGGAGGGTAGATAAAAAAATACTAGAGAGGTGGATGGAACACAGGTCCTATGAAGGGAGAAATTTGAAAACATGAGGGTGGACTTTAAATGTGAATGGTTAGGGGTGGTAATATAGAGGGAGATAGAAATAAACAACACTGTAGATGCTTCAAACAGCCACAGGGAAACATACTGTTTTTTAATTAAAAAATCATTTTTTATTTTACATACCAACCCCAGTTCCCCCTCTCTCCCCTTTCCTACCCTGCTTCCCACTCCTCATCCATTCCTCAGAGGGTATAAGGCTGTCATACCAAGTTGAGGCAGGACCAAGTCTCTTCCCCCTATATTAAGACTGAGCAAGGTATCCCACCATAGGGAATAGGCTCCAAAATGCCAGTTCAAGCACCTGGTCCTGATGCCACTGGAAGCCCTCCTCACAACAGATCAAGCTACATAACTGTCCTCACATTCAGAGGGTCTAGGTCAGTCCCATGTAGGTTCCCCAGCTGTTAGTCCATAGTCCATGAGCTCCCACCAGCTCATATCAGTTGTCTCTATGGTTTTCCTCATCATGTCTTGATCCCCCTTGCTCATATGATCCCTTCTCCCTCTCTTCAACTGAACTTCAGGAGTACATCCCAATGCTTGGCTGTGGATTACTGAATCTCCTTCCATCAGTTACTGGATGTAGGTTCTATGATGACAATTAGGATAGTCATTAATCTGATTAAAGGGGAAGGACCATTTAGACACCCTATCCACTATTGCTAGGGGTCTTAGCTGGGGACATCTGTGGATTCCTGAGAATTTTCTAGCAACATATTTTGACCTCAAAAGAACAACTTTATATGGCAAAGCAAAAACCCAGGATAGACAAGGAAATCCTGTACAATAAAGGAACTTCTAGAGGCATTACTATCCCTGACTTCAAGCTCTACTATAGAGCTACAGTAATAAAAAGAGCTCAGTATTGGCATAAAAACAAACATGTTGAACAAAAGAATTGAATTGAAGACCCTGATACTAATCCATATACTTATGAACAGCTGATTTTTGACAAGAAAGCCAAAAATGTACAATGGAAAAAAGAAACATCTTCAACAAATGGTGCAAGCAAAACTGGAAGTTGACATGTAGAGGAATGCAAATAGATATCTATCCCCATGCACAAAACTCAAGCCCAAGTATATCAAACACCTCAACATTAGTCCAGTTACATTGAACCTAATACAAGAGAAAGTGGGAAGTAGCCTTGAACACATTGGCACAGGAGACCATTTCCTAAATATAATACCTGAGAGCAACAATCAATAAATAGGGCCTCCCAAAACTGAAAAGCTTCTTTCTGTTGGCAAAGGACACTGTCAATAAGACAAAATGACAGACTACAGTATGGGAAAAGATCTTCACCAACTCCACATCTAACAGAGGGCTGATATCCAAATATATAAAGAAATCAGGAAACATACTATTTTGTAAGATGACTTAAAAGTACATATAACACATGAGAGAGAGAGAGAAGAGAGAGGGAAGCAGGCATGCAGAGAGAGTTTGAGTCATGTCACACAGAGTGATAATGCTTGTCTCAGGGTCTTTTGCATGTCTGTCAACAACCCCAGTGTCATTCATAAAGTATATATCAATATGAATGTGGATCATCACAATATCTAGGCAGATATAGGATATTTTTTGTACTTTTTACAATTAAAATATCTTTATGATGAAAATGCATGTGTGTACCTTGGGGTGAGCATAACTGAAATTATGCTATTTGCAACAGAACACACATGGGTTGGTGTTTCTACCCCATGAACAGAATGCCTTTAGTGTAAACGTTACTATTTCTTCAAAAAGCAAGTCAACACAGACCACATACCTTTCATGATGTTCTTTTTCCAGTTTTGAGTCCAATTTTGAATTGGTCATTTTTCTTTTTTACTGAAACCAAAAAACACATACCTTACGGAGAGCACAAAAGCTTAACTGGAACAGCACGATACATGTCTATCAACACACATCTGGGCAAAGAGCAAAGCCGGCGAGATGATTTGGAAGCCCTAGGCCATATGTTCATGTACTTCCTCCATGGCAGCCTGCCCTGGCAAGAACTCAAGGCTGATACATTAAAAGAGAGACGTCAAAAAATTGGTGATTCCAAAAGGAATACTCCCATCGAAGTTCTCTGTGAGAACTTCCCAGAGGAGATGGCAACCTACCTTCGATATGTCAGGCTATTAGACTACTTTGGAAAACCTGATTATGAGTATTTACGGACCCTATTCACGGATCTGCTTGAACGGAAAGGCTACACCTTTGACTATGCCTATGATTGGGTTGGAAGGCCTATTCCTAATCCAGTAGGATCAGTTCATGTAGATTCTGGTGCATCTGTAATAACTCGAGAAAGCCACACACACAGGGATCGGCCATCACAACAACAGCCTCTTCGAAATCAGACTGCATCATCAGAGCACCGAGGAGAGTGGGAAAACCAGCCCAGCTGGCAGACCAATACCTCATTCCTGATGTGTTACTTGGCCGCTGACCGCCATGGGGGTTCAGTACAGGTACCTACTGTCATCCCTTTGGCTATACCTGCAAAGAGATTATGTCATCGCTAAGACACAAGCAACCAAATTAAAAAAAAAAAAATCAATGACTTTCAATATTCTAAAACACAAGTTGAGCTGTGAGGACAGTCATCATCGAAATGAGAAGCCCTGGTTGATCAGCAGACCTGTTCGTGCTCTACCACCTCTTCTCCCCTTGAAGAGGAGAGCCAGTGAACCAGCCTTTCCATCAATTATAGAAACAGGGAAAAGTCACTTTCAGTAGGATGGTATGAAAGAGAGAGTAAAGAGTTCGTGAATCTATATCATGGTCAATAAATGCTACTGCCTTGAACTGAAGCCCAGATCACATGTAATATTCCCAGAAGGAGTCATTATGACTAATGTCACAAACAGTGCCTTTGGGGACAGCTGTCAACAAGAATTCTGTGAACAGCCTGCCAGGTGATATCTCCTCATGGGAGTCAACCCTCAATCGAACACCTACCAGATTTCTAAACATGGACTTCTCCACAGAGCAACCAGCCATGAGGTCAACATGCCCAAAAAACAGGACAAGTTTGGACACACAACCTCTGGATACATCCCATTCAGGGCCTAGAACCTGATCATCAAGCAAATGTCCTTTGCACTGAGGGCACTGTGATTTGCTACTCCCCCACCCCATGTGAGTGCTGGATACACTTATAAGCTACAAAGAAAAGAGAGGACTGTGCAGTTAATAAAGACCCATATGCTTTGCCCACCTAAAAAAAAAAGATTGTATTTATTTATTATGTATACAGTTATCTGCATGCATGCTTACACACCAGAAGAGAACACGAGAACGCATTACAGATGATTGTGAGCCATCATGTGGTTAATGGGAATTGAACTCGGGTCCCCTGGAAGAACAGTCAGTGCTCTTAACCTCTGAGGAATCTCTACAGCCCGAATTGGTCATTTTTCAAACACTCCTTCCTTGAACTGAATACATTTTGATGAGTAAAGTCTTTCATGCAATAAATTCTAGTCTTCTGAAAGTCCCGTTTAATGCACTTACCAGCAGGTAAATGTTGTATGTATACAAGAGAGAAAGGTTAATAGAAGGTGACCCATAATAATTTCTTCGCTTAAGTAAGACATGCAAAACTGTGCTAGTTTACATTATCTCATACCATTTAGTTGTTTTGGAGTTTGAATATTAGATACATGGAAATACTCTAAAGCATAGGATAACAAATCTTCTCCAAAGTAAATGATTGTTTGGATAAATATATTTGTTTAATGATACATACTCTATACCACTACTGGAGTCGTATGTTGCCTTTAATATTAAATATTTTGGGCAACAAGGCATAAAGAAGTCTACTTAAGGCCAGGTGGCACTGAAAAACCTTTATCTAAAGCATAAACACTATAAATTTCACAAGAGCAAATTGAGGCTTATGAGCTTAGAGCTTAGAGATGGAGCAGGAGTTCACTACTAACCTTACTCTCAATGAAATTTTCAAATAATTCCCTTATTTCTGCCTTTACATTTTATATAGCAGCAACAAAGTTTTGTTTATTTCTGGGAGTTTCAGATGTAATTTTTCATACTCTTAAACCCATCGCCTTATAGTTGTTTCTGTCAATATCCTATTTAATTTAGATGGAGTGTTTTGAAGTATATATAATTATTAAACAAATTCTGTGTGGAGTTTACTGTATTAGACTGAGTCTAATCCTTGGATCTCTTTTCATGTGGCTGTACCTTGTACTACACTCTTGCCTTCTGATAATGTTTATTTTGTTTGGACCAGAGGCCATGCCTTAAAGACCTAATTCTACACAGCCAAGGGTCTTATCTACATCCCTGCTCTTTTCCTGCCTTCCCTCCCACTACTCCCCTTTGTTCCTCCTCTTCCTTTTTGAGATAAAGACTTAAGTATTTAAGACTAGCCTGAAACTTGCTGTATAGCCAAAGATGTCCTAGAACCTGTGATCTTCTTGCCTCTACTTCCAGATTCTAGAAATACAGACACACACCACCATGTTTTGATTTAATTCAGTTCTGGGGATCAGACATAGGGCTTAATGCATGCTAAACAAATACTCTACCAGTTTAACTATATTGTCAGCCTCTAGGAGTTTTCTTTTTAATCACTACATATAGCCAAGAAGTAGTTTCTCTTCAAATATTTTAGCTGAGCATTCTGAATCCTTGTGTGTGCCTGATTACCCTTTCCACTGAGGTGGGAACTCATGCAAAATCACACCTGATAGTCATTTTACACATCTTTATGTATGTATAGATTTATAAATAAACCTGTGTAGATTTTAGGTGGGCTATGTGGCATTCTGCTATATATGCCTCTGTTTTTTTCCAACTTTTTTTATTTGAATTAGAAACAGGATTGTTTTACATGACAATCCCAGTTCCCTTCTCCCACCCATCCTCCCCTACCCACCCCCAACTAAAACCTTATCTGTCACATAACTTTTCTGCTGTCAAGGTAGTTAACATAGCCACCTCCTGACAGTGTTCCCATGGCTATATCTAAACTTTTCCAGTCTACTCCTAACTGAGGGGGGAGTATAAGATAACTAAAACAGTAACTTTAGTCTGTCCATTGCGTTAGCATCAAGCTTCATCTTACAACAGGGTTTGCACCTTCACTACCAGCTCCCCTTTCTCCCTGCCCTTAGTTCCCTGAAATCGCCTTTTGCTCCACTCATCATTTCTAAAACTATATTTCTGTTTGAATTCTATACGTAGGTAAGATCAGACATTAATGTCTTTCATTACTTGGCTTACTTCACTTAGATAGTGACTGCTGGTGTTTGGATCTCAATTTACCCCCAAGAGTTATGAGGTGAGGACTTCCTTGCCATGCCCCCCTTCGATGATACTTCGATGACTACTTCTCATGGGCCAACCAACTAACCTAAAAGTGCAAAACTGAAAAAAACACAACAAACAACACACACACAAAACAACAACAACAACAACAACAAAAACCCCAAAATCTTTCAACGTTGTTAGTATCACATGCATTTTGTTGTATTGCAGGAATACAGTCTCTAACAGTGTCTTATTTATTGATCTATGTTACTGCTGATGGCAGAATTTCCCTTTTTCCTATCAGGATTATGCTATTACACATTTCCATTATCTTTTCATCCATCATTGGAGTCTATGATTGTTTTGTATACCTCAAACATCATGAATAATGCTACTATGAACCTGGGTCTGCAGATGTGTTTCAAGATAATAATTTCATTTGTTTAGATAGAAAATGAAACAAGGTTTCTATATTAGTAATTCTATCCTTAATTTCTAGGTGCATTTATATACTGTTTGTCATAATGATTCTTCCAAGTCACATTTTTAGGAACAGGATAGAAGGATTTGCATTTCTTCAAGTTCCTTACAAAATTGTGATCTTTTGTGTCTGATGGTCTCGTTTCCACCTGTGTGAGGTGCCATCTCATGGTTTAGGTGATTGGTAATGAATTCACAGACATCCACCTATCTCTGACTCCCCAGGGCTATAATTAAAGGCATGTCCCCCCCCCCCCCCACACACACCTGGCTAATATCTTTTATTTATAATAATAATGTCATTATAGTTACCTTCTTAATATCTCTGTTGTATAGTTTCTTTATAGTTTACAGACATAAAAGTGATTTTGTATTTTTTGTAACCCAGAACTGAATCAAATTATTACTGAAATTATTTTCTATAAGTATCATTGAAGTCTTTAAGACTAATTATTTGTAAAGTTTGTCATTTTGAAATACATCATTTATACCTTCCTATTCCACTTCAATACTTCTGTTTTCATTCTCTTTTCTCAATGATCTGGCTCATACTCCTGCTGCTATGTTGAAGATAAAAGCCTTCAGGCCTTAACTCTACATAGTGATAGTTGTAGACTTCGGGGAGGGGCTGCAGTACTTCATTTTGTGTCAGTTTTGTAATAAATTTTATGATGGAAGAATTTTCATTTCTGTCAACTGGATTTTCCTCTGTTGAGAAGATATTATTGGTAGGAATCTTTCATACTTTTAACATATCTGTTGCTTTGCATGTATTAGAACATTTTTTTCACTTCAAGGATAAGTCCCACCTATTCATAATGTGTGATATTTTAAATATACTTTGATTTCAGTTTTCTTCTTTTTAATGGCTTTTATTTATGAAACCTTTTATTTTGCTCCTATATTGTTTTCTTGATTTATTTCATTTTTCCATGTGTTCTTGATTTATTATTCCTCAAGAAGATTATTGCAAATTCCTTCTTTAATTTTCATATTTTTATAGTTTCATTACACAAATATTACATTTACATCAATTTCACCCATCCTTCCCCTCTTCTAACTCCTCTCACGTAGTCTGTATTTTCTCTCAGATTCATAACTTCCTTTTTAAAAATTTTTATAGATTTAGTGTTATTCAAATGCACATAGGGCCAATCACAAGAAATAAATATTTTCCTATATCCAAGAGTATTTGTCATCTACGAGATTCAATTATTAAAATGCTAAATCCATGCATTTGCAACATGCACTCTAATTATTTTATTCTTGGTATAGTATATGGACTTAATGTCTACCTTTTAATTACCTTGGTGAAATGATATTACAAACCCTTGTTGTCATGAGGAAACAGAGCTGTTGGTGAATTAGTGTGGAGATTCATTTTTCACTGTTTTGGAGAACTGATAATGCATACATGTCCTACAAATCTAAAAGTACTTAAAAACTCATTAAAATTTAACATGGAATAGTTTTTTTCCATTTTTTATTTGAATTAGAAACAATATTGTTTTACATGTCAATCCCAGCTCCCTCTCCCTCCCCTCCTTGTCTGCCACTCCCCACAACTAAAACCCTACCTATCACATAACCTTTCTGCTCCCCAGGGAGGGCGAGGCCTTCGATAGGGGGTCTTCAGAGTTGTCATATCCTCTGTGATAGGGCCTGGGCCCACCCCCATGTGTCTAGGCACAGGGAGTATCCCTCTATATGGAATGGGCTCCCAAAGTCCATAGCTAAGCTAGGGATAAGTACTGATCTACTACTA